TGTTTATATTGTAATCCAGCGACATAGCCATTACGCTAACTGCTGGTCCCCACCCTTCTTCTTCTTCTTTTTTTTCTTTAATGAAGGAAAGTCTCCAAAATATTTTCATTATCAAAGAAAAAAGGTTATTTTCCCTCTGTCTTTTTTTCCTACTACATACAACCCAGATTTATCTGCTTAAAAATCTTCACTGTTGTGTCTTATCTTTTTTGATTAGAGTAGAATTTTTCAATAGACTTTCTCATGAAACTTTGAATTAAAAATAACTTCCTTGGGACCAGCAGTTAGCGTAATGGCTATGTCGCTGGACTCCCACGTTGCTGACCGCGGTTTGCATCCTGGACCCGGTGGCTTAATAAAACCCGCACCGGGTGCGTGTGCATGCGTGCCCAAGATCCTGAGAGGAGAATGGAGGAGAAGGGATTGCAGCGTGGCCATCCCCTCTGGGGGGTGATTTCTCGCTTTCTGTCTCTCTGTCTCTGTCTGTCTGGTGAGCACACATGCCCTATAGTGAAAAACCTCTCAAAAAACCAAAAAACAAAAAAACAAACAAAAAAAACCAACAACAACAAAAAATAACTTCCTTGTTCCAGGCTAATGACTGAATTTTTGTACTTGAGTAAATAACTTCTGCAATTTTGCTGCTTAAGAATCTCACTGATTTTTGTCCCAGATTTTACTTAGGGGAGCTCTCTGCTGGTTTTGGTTTAGGATTTTTAAGTTTTGTAGGGGAGAACAGAAAATATTCTTATTAAGATTTCATTCTGTCTATTCTTAATTAAAATAGTTAAATTTACTTCTTGTTTTCTTGCTTTCACTTTTAAGTTTGCCAGAGGGTATGTGTACTCACCAGAAAGAGCCAAAGAGATAGAGAAAGAGAGACAGAGGAGAGAGAGAGAGAAAGCAGCCCCACAAGGGGGCATGCTCATGCAGCAATCCTTTTTCTTCCATTTCTTTATTTTACTGGAATTTTGGACTCTCTCTCTCTCTCTCTCTCTCTCTCTCACACACACACACACACACACACACACACACACACACGCTGGGCATGCTTTTCAAGCTGCTGAGGCCAGTATTTGAACTGTGGTCAGTTTGGGAGGGTTTTGGCTTCTCTTACCTATCTAGCTAAAATGCTGGTCTGCTGAATATCTTTTATTTATTTATTTTTTTGCTATGGGCGCGTGCACTCGCCAGACAGAGACAGAGAGACAGAAAGTGAGAAATCCCCCCCCCCCCTCCAGAGGGGATGGCCACACCGCAATCCCTTCTCCTCCATTCTCTTCTCAGGATCTTGGGCACGCACGCACACGCGCCCGGCGTGAGTTTAAGCCACCGGGTCCGAGACTCAAACCACAGTCGGCTACATGGGAGTCCAGCAACATAGCCATCACACCAATTGCTGGTCCCCTAAATTTCTTTTAAGATAGCCACAGAAGCAGGGTGTCAAAAGACAGAATGAGAGCAAGGCCAGTATGCATTTTTTTTTTTTAGTTGCTTGAAAACATTGTAATTTTATTTCCATAGCTTTTATCTAAGAGTAGATATTGTCTTGAAGTGTGCTCAGACTTGTTTATAACTTATTAGTAAGCCATTTTCTCATGCCTGCAAATTCTCAAAGGAAAATTGACTTATTTGATGAGGGAAACAGCTAAGACTCTCGATGGCCAGGAAGCATACTTACCACGATCAGGATGAACCAAGTCCTGTGATGTGGAACTCATTTCTCAATAAGTCTCTATGTCTTTGTTCCTCTCTCTCTTCCCTCTCTCCCCACCTCACACTTTCTTTTTCACAGACACATACATACACACTTCCATGCTACACTTCCATTACTTCGAAAAACTGATGTGGTTACCTTCATTGCTGGGGTTCCCCAGCACCTTCTTGACCTCTGCATTGGTGGGATTTGTGCCCAGAGCCCGAAGCACATCACCGACCTGGCTTAAGGTGATCTTGCTTTCACCTGTTCTGTCAAACAGGAGAAATGCCTCCTTGAAGTCTGCAAAAAAGCAAGAAGCATTAAGCATGATTTTCCCCTCCTACTTAGTAATTAACCCTAACTCTGTCGAAGATTCAGTTTAAATTTTTCTCTGTCTTACAACTTTTGCCAACCATTAAAGGTTTTATCTTTGAACTCTCTATTTTCCTGTCTCAAACAATCACTGGCAAGCCCTCTTGGCATTTCTTGAGGGAGATATTTTAACAAAGTAGCTCTTTCAATTTCAAGTCATATGCTGTTATTAATCAGACATATGACATTTCTGCTCCTGGTCATATTTATTCATCTTTTCTTCACTGCCTGGGAAACAGGACTGAGTTAAAAAGTTCTGAGGCCTTGATAAACCTTAATAATTTCTCACATAATCAACAAGATTAATATAATTTCAAGAAAACTAATTTTCAATCCAGGTTGTGCTATGTGAGGTTAATCCAAACTTCTCAAATTATAGAGAAAAAACCTTGTCTTGAGGTACACATTTCCTAGGCTCTCCCATTAACTAGTTTTCTCCAGGAATAATTGAATTTTTTTTTTCAGGAAAAATTTAGCAAAGTGATAATAACCTATAAATTCTATAGAGTCATTTAACCACTTCAGTATAACCATTGTTCTAGCACAATTGATTCAGAAGGAGAAATATTTGTCTGGATCTATTGCTATGATAATCTTTTTACACTTTTTCTTTTTAAAGATAATACATATGGCAACATGTTGCTATATTAGCTTTAGAATTTAAGTATAAACTTTTAATTTAGATCTTATGGACATACAATTGCAAGAGACAATACAGAGAGACTTCTTATCTGAGAGGATTTCAAAAAACTCGTGGGAAAATAGAGTTAAAATATGTTTATTTTGGTGAAAAAACCAGTTGAAATTCATACTTTTTTTTCATAATACACATTTTCCATGAACTTTTTAAAGACCTCCCCCCATAGATTCTGCATAGTTTCTCCTAATAATGTTTTGCGAAATTATAATATATTATCACAGTGAGGATATTCACATTGATGACTACACCAATTTTATTCTTATTATTCCACTTTACTTGCATGTGTGTGTGAATGTGTGTGTAAAATACAAATTTTGAAGTGCTCTCTCTTCTTATCACAATTACTCTATTGATTTCATTCCCTAAATTTTTTAATTCTCACTGTATAGAATGGTTACTTTGACAATCTATTACAGAAGCATATGCCAAAATGGTAGGAAGGGGTGCTACTGTGGATTTGGAGCCAGTAATGCCAGTTTAATTGAAACTTCTAAATTTAACTAAATAAAATTTTCTAGGAAGTTAAAAGCACTGATGGCAGCTTATTGGAGTTAATGCCTAAAACACTCAAACTATTTGTGGATGAACTGGAGAGTAAAAAATCATTCTATTTAGTCTATCAGTGATCTCAGATCAAAAGATGCTATCTAGAAAGGATACCCAGAAAAAGTGCCCTGTCTTACTGTCCCTCTTCCCCCTAATTTATAATTCACCTGACATTCTAGTCAAGTTAACTGCAGATCATGTTACTTTTCTTTGCTAAAATTTTTCCATTAAATTCTATGCAATTTGACCATAACAGACCATTTTCCTAATCTACAAAACACTGTGGAATCATTAGTAAAATAATACTTGTCATCTTTCTAAGGGACATGTGAAACTGAACTATTCTTGTTACTGGCTCCAAGCTTTCATACACAGATTGCTGAGATGGCTCACTATTACCCTGGTCAGATGCTGATGCAGAAATAGGATTTTATGGGCTGTAATAGAATCGTTCTGACAGTAACCCTTTTGGTGACTTAAGGGCAGAGGCCAGAAGGATGCTATGCTTTTCCCCCCAGATGTTTAACACAAGGCTTAGTTCTTCTCTTGAAGAGTCTAGAAGATGACTTGGCAAAATACTTGCTAGGAGCTGGCTGCCTCTTTTTGTAAATAAGATTTGGTTGGGTAGAGCCATGTCTATTCATTTATGGATGTCTGTGGTATTTTCACAGCTCATTGACATAATGGAGTTGCCTTCCCTAAGTTTATACTGCCAGCAAAATCTAATGTATTTACCATTTGGCCCTTTAAGGAAAAGCGTGCTGACCTCTGGTCTAGAATAGCACTGTTCTAGGGCTGCTTAACAACAATGAAAATGTTCTCTGTGCTGCCCAAAAAGATAGCTACTTGCTGTGGCTCTTGAGCACTAAAATATGACTAATGCAACTGAAGAAATGTATTTGTCATCTCTTCATACTTAAAGTGAAATAGCTGCATGTGAGATAGCACAGGACTTCAACCTTTAGAATGCTATAGTTTTCTAGCTTTTTTTCCCCTTCAACCTTATGAAATAGTCACTCAGAGCAGCTGTAAGCAGAAGTCTTTAATCATCGAATAAGGGGAAAAAATGAAAGAAATCAAAAGTGTAAGATTTCCATTTACTTTAAAAAGTTCACAGTCGTTTTCCTGACACAGAAAAGAAAAAACAGTCCTCTATTACCAGTGTTTACCAAACTGCTATAATCTAAAATCTCTTTCATGTGTGGAATAATAGGTTTAATGCTTCTACCCATGCAAGGATTTTTCAGTCATCCATTGCTTGGTCCTAAAATAGATGAGTAGTCACAAAGACCATGTATATTAGGTCCTTGAGAAAACCGAGATGCAGTGACTGATAATGTAGCAGTATCACCAGTTTAAAAATGCTTGAAAACTCAAACAAGCCATAGCAGAATTACTGACTGTTTTCAGTAAGAAAAAAAAAAGTTCTTGATTGCATCATTTCACATGATCTTGAGTTATGAGTCATACAATCATCTACATCTGTCCACACGAGGTCCTTAACAGTGATGCAGATGAAAATGAGTCTGTACTTTAGCAAATATCCTTTCTCTTAACTGATGTCGAAATACGAGCTACTTGAAACAGACCGTATAATGTATTAAAGAATTTCAAGTAAAAGAACTCAGTATTTAAATAGGTCTTTAGTAATCCCCTGTAATTATAATTCTTTTATTTTATATATCACAAAATATATACTATGTACTTATGACCAATATTCTCATTAATACAACACAATATAACAAGTATTTCTCCTCTCCCCTTCTAAACATGTATATCTATCTCAGGTCATTTACATCTGTAGCACTTCTACTGCATAAAACATTCTTCTTTACACTTCCTATTAAAAAAAAAGATCATTTGGGATAAGAAGTCTGTTGGACACAAAGACCCACAGGGGAAAATAGTAAAGTGTTAGCAAAATTATTCAGATTCTCTTAAATCTTATGAGTTTGGAATGTCCTTGGTTGTAAACATTTTCATAAAAGAAATTTTCAATGCCTGTAAAATAATGCCACATTTTAATGCTATCACTATTTCTTTGGGTCCTTGAGCAAGTCCTATGACTTCTCTGAGAGTCTGATCACATTTCTAGAAGGTACTAGACCAGGAGCTAGCTAGTGTTCCTTCCACAGATTTATGATAAATTACTCCTCCTCTGACTCTAAGTTCAGTTTTACCCTACAATTCACTATGGTGCCCATAGAATTTAGGCAGATTTGTGCCATTGAGCGGTTTTCTAATCATTTTTATTTTGCAAATTGAGCAATTTAGACTTGTGAAATTTCTCTTCAGGGATTTGGTTAGCAAATTAGCCATCCAAAATCTACACCATTTTCTGGGCATATACTTATGGTACTACTTATTGTATCAAATTGATTTTTATTTAGGAGTCAATGAATATAATAAGGAACTATTTTGTAGTGTTTATCTTTTGTTTGCTTAAGCTTATGATTACTGATTATATGCAAAGGTTTCAGGTTGAGCGAATTTATATTTAGAGTGATTGAGAGCAATTTATATTTAGAGTGACAACACCAGTGAGGATAATTAGGAAGAGCTAATTTCATCCCAAGGGAGTTGGTTTTCTCATATGCTACCCTTATGAGTGTGCACATATTAACAACTATAGCTTTTAAACTTACCATCCTGCTGTTCCTTAGAGAACTCGATCTGTTAGAAAAAAATTAACCACAAAGAATGTTTTAACCAAACAAAAATGTCCTGAATTTTAAGTGGATCCAGCTCATTCCCTGAGCCATCTTCAAAGTAAGCTCCAAAGGTCAGCCTACGTTTCAGAGTTCAGGCATAGCTTGGATACTAACAGGTTGAGCCACAAAGTAACATGCCTTGAAATTAAATGACATTTCAGAAACCAGGCAGCACTGTGCCTGCATCCGGGAGTAGAGAAGTTCAATGCACTTACCAGCAATCTGGTCAGCACTGAAGGACTGCAGTGGCGAGAGAAAGGGAAAAAAAAAAGAAACAACTAGTACTCTTTCAAATGCATTGACAGAAGAATGAGTGCTCTCTGCTCTGAGATTTTTGGGAAGCCCTATAGGTGTCATAGCATAAGAAGGTTGCCTTAAGGTACTTTTGAATCTAGGAAAACAAAAAGCTATTGAAAAAGATAATTAGGGAAGATCTCTTTGTATCTTAATCAACACAATCAATGACTTAACAAATGCTAAATCAGATACTTTCTGGAATAATATAATAGCTATAATGTATTTTAAAGATATGCCTAATAAGATATATTGAATTAAAAATGCATAGATAAACACACTACATTAAAAAGAACTTAAGTCTTTCTACTGTTTAACCAGCAATTTTTATATTAGCATGTAATAGTGCAATGGAAGCAGTTTATTTAACTATTGACACCATCGCATTGTATTTTAAGGTACAATATTTTGCTACAGTTGCAGATTTTTTTCCCTAAATCTAGATATTATAAACCTTAATGTGATTTAGCAAAAGTTGGTGAAGCATAAAGTATACTTCTAGATATTATAAACCTTAATGTGATTTAGCATTAAGGTTTATAATACCTTAAGCATGCTTATACCTTAAGCATGAGGTATAAGATGTATTTTTCCACTTGGCATAATTGATCGAATTAATCTCTTCTGTCCTCAATATATTTCATTGGAAACCAAAAGAAGACTCTAAAGATTTGTACTGAATATGTTCTCTGCTCGATTCTATTCTTTTCCTTCCTTCTCAATAAGTCCATATATGCTCCCTATATCCTCCTGTCAATGACAAATAGTTTTCTTTATAGGACCCACCATGATGGAGCTGCTGGGCTGCAAAACAGCAGAGGCGAAGATGACCAGTGAGCTGAGGGCTGCTGCAATCCCTGAGTGGGGTCCGCCCTCACTGAAGCTTGCTTTTATCACTAGGCAAACTGACCTCACAGCTAGCATCAGATTTCAGAGGGAAGTCGCCACTCCCCTTGAAGAGTTCCTTAGCTTTCTTAGGGCAAAGGGGAAGATCTGTACCCTGAAAGCTATTTTTAGGACACCAGGACCTAAGGGTGGATCTCTGTTGTGAGACCGAAGCCTGTCAGTACTTTTATGGTCTTGATTCCAGAGATGGTCTCTAGAAGCTTCTTTATTTAAGAAGCTTATTTATTCAGTGGCGAAGGAGCTTAGAATTTCTCCAAGTGCTCAGGGTTCTCTTGGTAAACTTCTAGTCAGCAAATTTGGTTATTAATGGGACTTCTTGGGTAGGACTGGTTTGGGGTTTCATATGGCAACATCCTCCAGATCTCTGGCATTTATGGTAAAGTCCAGTGGACTTGAAAAGGCCACACCTGTTCTGCATGTTTCTTAGGGTATGCCCAAGTGACAATCTGGTCCAGTCTTGAAATCTCCAATTAAAGACTATTATTATTAATATTTTAGAGAGATTTTTGCTATAAGATGTGTGCAATCACTAGAGAGACAGAAAGCGAGAAATCACCCCCCGGGGGGATGGCCATGTTGCAATCCCTTCTCCATTTTCCTCTTGGATTCTGGGCAAGCATGCACATATACTTGTGAGTTTTAAGCCCGTGGGTCCAGGACTCAAACCACAGTCAACTATGTGGGAGTCCAGGGCTGTAACTGCCATGCCATCTGCTGGTCCCTAAAGACCATTATTTTATAAATTGCATTCTCAGAAGTATAATATAAATTAGGAATGGTTTTGATCTCCATTTTCTTTATTTCTTTATTTTTGGTCATTCTCCCTTGACATTAGGCCTGAGTATTTTCTTTCTTCCCTGATAACTTATTTTTGTGTGTGTAAGTTATTGCAATAGGGCATGTGCACTTGCCAGAGAGAGAGAGAGACAGAGAAATCACTCCTTTGCCTCTATGGGAGGAATGGCCACATCCAGTCCCTTTTCATCCACTGTCCTCTTAAGATTTTGAACATGCACGCACATGCACCTGGCAAGATTCTCAAGCCCACCAGGTCTGGGACTTGAATTGCAAAACTGCAAGCCCACCAGGTCTGGGACTTGAATTGCAATCCTGATCATCATATGGGATCCAGGGCCTTAACCTCTATGTCACCTGCTGGTCTTCCTCCCTGATATTTTTATGTTGGCTGACTACTCATATTTTTTTTAATTTCTGAAGTTCTTCCAGGCAGGAAAGCTGATAGGGCATTTTTGTGTTCTTTCTCTCGCATTGGACGCATATTCTTTTAGCATGTTGCATAAGTTCTTCCTAGACCTGTGCATATTCTGCTTCTGCATTGTCAGGCGCTGTATGTCTCCACTAACCAAAAGAACACAAGTAAGGGCTTAGGGTATGCAAAATGTACTTCCATTTTAAAGCTATCCAAAGGATTGACTGGAGACAGGCTTTCATGGCAGCTTACCTGAAAATAGTAGTCAGCTCCTTTTCTGGAGCAGTACTAGGAAAAATGATTCTAGAAAAGATCAGTCCTATGAAGCCCGTTAAAGTTCAGACAAAATGTTTATCAGTTTTCTACATGTATAAAGCAGCTCACAGGCATAAAGGATGTTGGAGATGAATTGTAGCAACTGTGCTTTAGCAGCTGTGTTAAAGAGGAATGATCACAAAAAGCATGAGGTCTCCTCTGCTAGAGAGATAGAAGCTTCATAGTTTGCCCCCAAGCCCTTCCAGAAGAAATCAACATTTAAAGTCTCTCACTCTGGGCCCAAAGTTTGTAAGTAGTTAAAAATTCTCATAGGATCTGGAGTCCCAAAATGAGAACTGAAAATACCAATTTTAAATTATTAGTACTCAAGTAAACATACCTTCATAAATAGACTGACATTTTGAAAGGTTATTGGGAAATAGAAGTTCATAGAAAAATTTAAAAATGCTGTGAAATGAAAGGGAGAGACAAAGGGGGAAATTTTGCAACCTTTGGCAATTGTGTAATTTGGAATCTCATGACTTTTGATGCAAAAAATAAAGCAATTAGCAGTGCATGTGTTCTTTATGCTCCTTTTTAGTTTTATAATTATATTTATGAAATTGTGCCATTAAATCTAAATTTCCCTATGGTTATTTTTCAGAAATAGAAATACTTTTAGTAGATATAATAACAATAAGTAATACATTTTTAATATATTTAATAACTATAAATAATACATCAACCATCAAAGTTGCCATACTAGACATAATGATAATTTTCAAAACTCAAATGGAAAATACACCCATAAATACATATTAAATATGGTCAATTTGTAATAAAATATGTTGGGTGAACTGCAAAGTCAGTTTAAATTTGTATTTAGATTATAAACGAGCTATTCCCAGTCACTTGAATATTATGTAAAGATTTGTTATTAGACTGGGAATAGTAAAGTTGTAGACATTTGTCAAACTATTTCACCATAGTCTTTTTTGTATCTTTTTCATAGAGAGTGAGAGATCAGATTTTTTGCACCTACTAAGAGGTGAAATAAATAATTGAGCATGTTATTTGACAACCACAGGAAAGGCCACAATATAGTCTAGTCTAGAGGAAAAAACTACGTGTAAAATTTATAAGACCTCGATTCTGTGTTCACAGAATAAACAGAAGATGCTATTTATTCTCTGATACACTTTCACGGAATAAATGGAAGATTCTATTTATTCTCTGATACACTTTCGCAAAGGTCAAAAATCTCTTCTTGTACCACTTCCTTGGTGTTATAATGATAAAGTAATCAGCCCTTTGAAAAAAGGCTGTATGAACATCAATTGTCAGCCGACTTTAACCTGTTTGCTGTGTCATCAATTGATTTGTTTTAAAAAATGAACTTCAGTCTCTTCTATTTGGCATGTTCTCTCCTCTCTCATTTTTAGGAATTAAATATTCTGTGGTCTGGCAGGTGGCATGGTGGTGAAGTGTGTTGGACTCCCATATGGCCCACTGCAGACTGACTCTCAGACCTGGTGGTTTGCTTTCTCACTTTCCCTCTCTTTCTCCCTCACTCTCTCCCTCTCTGATCAAATTAAACTAACTAAATCAAGTTAAATAAAATAATTCTTTTAAAAAAGGAAATGAAATATTCTTCAAAGTTCTGTTAAAATCTCCTCCTCCTGGAAGAACTTTTTCCTTTCTATGTTCTAATTGGCTTCTTTCTCTCCCTGCAAGTTGTTTAATTTTTGTGATTATAATTTCTGAGAGGCATTGGTTTCCCAGAAGCCATTTACCTTTGTTCATAATGTTGACCCTGGTGTGGGCCTGTCCCAACCCCTGCCTGATTCTTGGGTTTTGTTCCCCTCAGAACCTTGTAGAATGCCTTTCCTTCATTATTTGCTCAAGAACTTTCATTAAACTCATTGAAACATATGTACACTAAGTTTCTCCTTCAAATATAAGCTCCTTCTCTAGAATATTACATTATTTTAGAAAAGACACTCTGTTCTCTCAAAGAGCTTACATTCTAGAGGAGGTACATGCATTCTACTTCAATACTAGGTCTCTAACACCTACAACTGCCCAGCACATTGTAGGCAGTCATTGTGAATTATCGATATATGTACCTTTATATTTCCAACATCTTCTCTAAGGTTTTATATGAATCCTAAGTACTATAATCCACTATATAAACCGAACTTCTAATTTTCTAACACTCGATCTAATTTTTTTTTAATTCTAGCCTACATAAATACCTTAGACTGTTAGTAAAATATTAGATACATCCCACATTTTTATGGCTCATGTGCTGTCATTTATGTTGGATTTAGATAGTCATTTATAAGATACTGCTACTAAAATAATTTTTAACACAAGGATTACAGCTTCTTTTTCACTTCAAGAAACATCCACCTGTGTAATGTCAGTCATGAGATTTGGAAAACTTATTAAAGACAAGATAAAGTTTCTGTAGAGAGGGAATCGATTTATAAGAAAAATACTAAAATGCCATTAGTCAAACAGGCTGTGGAATTGATGTATGTTAAGTTTCGGTACGCTGAAAAAAGAGCTATAGATAATGATATTGAACACTCTGGGGAAATGCCTTAGGAGGGAACAGAGACTAGTCTTCCAAGAACTTCAGCATCATTGCAAGATACGATGACCACAGTGATGGTAAGGCTAAGTAAAGAAATTAATCTAACAGAGACAGTTTTCAGTCAAGAGGACATCTCTGTATATCCTCTGATTGAATGCCTTGCAGATACCTAAGGCTTGGGTGTCTAGAAATACTGAGAAAAAATTCAGCTTAATTGTCACTCCAAACTCACAGAATTTCCAGGACCCTTGTAAAAGGCCAGCAGATGTATTATTTTGGGAACTCTTAGAGTTTTGTGCTTCAGAATGCCTCATTTAAGTCAAAGAAAGTAAATATTTTTCCTTTGCAATTTCAATCTCAGCAATGGATATACTTAGGATGATTACTATACTGTAATATAAACCAGCAAACTAAAGAGCAATGGGAATACAGTATCAGACCAGGTTCTCTAACATAAGAGAAATGAGAGGGTTAGACTGGATTAAGTTGTTCTGAAGCTGAGATAAGGCATGTAAACCAGCGCTCAGGAGGACTAGACCAGTCAACTGAATTCAGTCACAGAAGAAAAAAGATTGTTTTATTAAAATAATTCCCACCTAAAAGACCTAGCAGCAGTCTACATAAATTTGAATACAGACTTTAAATTGTGACCCAAGTCTACGCTTTTTCAACTTTCTCATTAGTTTTTTCATGGTTAATAATTGATAAAGAAATTTAAGATTTCTTCAGAGTTGTGCTTTTTCTCCTCTGTGCATTTGTTTGCATGTCATTTCTTAAAAATTCACATTATGTTTTTCATTCCTTCATCTTTTTGTTTTTAAAATGTAAGCATTAGAAAAATTCTTTGTGCATGCATTTTAATAAATTGTAAGTATCTGCTTTTTCTACTTGTCAGGACTGAA